CCCCAAAACCCCAAAACCCCATGAGTAGCGATATTAAGTGATTTAAGAATGTTTTTAACAAACGCAATAAGACTAATTTATTAAGCTAATTACTTTATTGTCAAATATAAGGAGAAAATTTATTATTTACCATTGTATTAGGTGATAATGCAAAGTGTTTCAATTAGGGGGTCAATTAGATTATGAATACTTGGGCCAGCAGTTAGTGCAAATATTAGAGCCCCCAGAAGCAGCATTTATTTCTATTCTTGGATCTCTTGCATATTGTCCTCCACATTCAAAGCATTAGAAATACACTAAATTAGTTAATACTTATAATCTATTTCATTACTTGAAGAAAGCTTATGAATAAGAACTCTTAGTATTATTTCTTTGCTCTATTCTTTAAAAGCAGTCTTAGTAGCAAATTATATAGCTTTATTCAAAACTAAATCACTGTCAATGGTAATTTGCTCAGTATACTCATCAATGTACTTCATTTGGATGGGGAGGTTGTTATATTTCTTATTCATTAATTCCTAAAGATCTTTATACCTAATATTTGCTGGAGCTTCAAAGATCTTATTGTCTTAGGCATATTAATCACTGTCAAAGCATTTTACCAGCATCATGTAAGATGGACCAAGTTCAGAGTTTACTTTGCTATTCATCATATGTTGAAAAGATGAAGAGCCGTAATTTGGAAATTCTACCTCAAAAGGCATTAGAGTCTACTACAAGAACTAAATTATAAACTCTGAATATTTTATCTAAGAATCATCAATCTCATATCCAATCTAATATATTCTATTCCTCAGGTTGTTAAAGAACTTCAGGACATATTCAGTGGTCTAAAGTGATAATAAAAATAAAAAACTTTATAGCATAAATTACTTACAGAAATCTTAATAGGATCATTGGTCCTAAGCAAACTTAATTGAGAGTGAAGTATGTCTACTAAAGGCCTAAATTTGTCGAGTAATTCCTAAGTAAAACTTCCTAAAATCTGCTATCTTTTCTGCATAAAATTCAAAAACTGCTCCAATAAGAGTAAGTTCTTAAACAAGTAACCATAGGAATAGAGTCTGAAGTTTGAAGCTGTTCTTCTTCCAGGTGAATTCTACTTTGATATTCCAAAAGCAAAGCCTCCGCCTGTTTCTTGAATGTTTATTTCATAGCATTGTTAGATAGCAAAGTCCTTATATAATTTAAAATCTTGTAAATTGTTGCAGATAATTCTCAGAAATCCAAAATTGACAAGATGTAATGCATTCTGATTAGTAATCTCAATCAGGGCTTTAATAATATCTGATGCAATTCCATAATATTGACTATCACTAAGCTATATGATCCTAAATATACAAGAAAGTAGCATATTATCCATGATGTATACATGCTGCCCACTTACTATCATTTCTTTGATTATTTGAAGAGAGTAAAGTGTTATCTTTTCGTCATAATTTTTGTCAATTAAAGTTTGTAAATGGCTAGCTAGTTTTAATTAGCATAAGGTTGAAGTGTGTAACCTAGTAAATTTCACTGTATTGTATATAGCTCTTAGTGCTGCTTGACATACAAGAATATTAGCATTAATACTAGATTATTAGAGCACTTAGCTGATAATATCAAATGTAGAATTGACCAATTCCCCAGATGGGTGAATGTGTAGGATTCTACCCATGGAAAGGATAGTGCAAATGAGTAACTCTTCTGATGGAGTATCCTCTCGCACTAATATTTCATAGAGTTTTTAGAGTAAAGGCTAAATATAAGAGATTTGCTTTTGATTAAGAAGTAATAAAGGATCATAGTATCTTTTGCAGATTATATACAAGCACCAAGAGATGAATCTCAAGCTAGTTTAGGTTTATGCTGGATAAATTTACTGCAGCATACAACCAAGATAATCACTTTCAAATATCAGTTAACTCAAATCAAGCCCATTTCTAATTAAATGGCCAATTACTAAGATTGACTAGTCTCTTACCTCTATGCAATTACTATTGATTTAGTTAAGCACCTTTACCACAATGTCATAGTTCACGAGTTAGGCTTAAAGTTTTTATAAAAACTACATATCACCATCCTAATCTTCTGTCTATAACTAATACTCTGATTGAGTAAATAGTTTACCAGCAATACTTAAAAGTCCGATGCATCTTAAAACCTCAATCTTTATTGGACTTATTTTCATGTCATCTTATTGATCCAGAATCTAAGCTCCTATTTCTAAAATAGTACTGCTTAAAATCAGATCAAAGACTCTTCTAATATGATCACTGATTTCTAGAATCTCAAACCTTTATGTGAAAGAAGTTAGGATTTCAAGCATTCCTTTTAATCTTTAAAATGCTGATTCTACTTAATTAATTTATCCTGATATCAAGTCCGTAAGTACTGATGAAAAAGTGTTGACTAAAAATTTAGAGGCTTAAAGCACTTCTAATTAAGATTGAATCGTACCAGTGCTAAAAGAAGAATTACCATAGACATTCAGAACCTCGAGATCCCTCTCTAAATTTTCAATTTGCAAGTGAGCTCTTTAAAGCAGTTCTATTCTTTTATCCTTAATTGTATGAACAAAGAAGGCTGAGATTATTTGATGTAGACTCAACTTGTCTTTTTAAGTAATATTTCCATTTTGATCTTAAATTGTGATACTAATGTGTGACATCTGAGTAATCCATTCATTTAATGTGTTCCTGAATGCACTCCAATCAATGAGCAACGTATGCTGATGTTAAATGCCAAGACCACCTTAATTCTAGTTTTTTCTATTATCTATCTGCATAAAAAAGGAGCTAATGATTTGATTCTCATCCCCTTTAGTTAATTTGATTTCCTCCTCTAATAGAAAAAGTTTAATTTGAGATCGAAATCTGATCAGAAAACTTACTTTTTGCGAGATTATGCTGAAACTCAAGAATCTCTTCGACAGTAACATAGCCTTTACTATCTTAATCGATGAATTAGAATAATTTATGAATTTCATCTACTAGTTGAGTACACTCTAAAGGGTCAAAGAAATATTGATCATTTGGCAATGGCTCAAGAAAATTCGCTTTTCCTCCTCTTATATCGTCCATTTTAATTTAAGTTAAGTGCTAGTTATCAAATAAATTAATTTATTTTAAATTAGTTTAATTTTTATAAGCGATGAATACTCAAATCGTTGATTATATCATAATTGGGGTTTTGGGGTTTTGGGGTTTTGGGG